CTCAGACAGCGGCTTGCGCAATACTTCTTTCCACGCTTCTTCCGCGCCAGTCATGGACGGAATAAGCAGACCCGCATCGGTCATGGCCATGCGGATGTCGCTGAGTACAGGCGCAGCATCGGTGTGGTTCGACTGAGCGTGGTACGCGGTGCGATCGGCGAGCAAGAACATGTAACGGGCGGCGATGTCTGTTACGGCGTCGACGACGGAGGGGCGCGCGCTGTGGTAGCCGGCGGCGCGGAGGATGTGGAGGATGGCTGGGCGAAGGAGGGCGGCGTGGACGTCGTTAGCTGACATGGTGTCTTGATCACGGGGGCGACACCATCAGCGGATTGTTGTTTGTTCAGTCGCCTGCGAGCATCACTGCGCTGAAGGTGTGGGAGTGGTGGAAAGTGGTGGGCGGTTATATACTTGGCTGGAGATTGAAGCTTCCATGCATTTCACTTCACCTGCGCACAGACCCTGCCGCATCACGTCGCCGGGCTTCCACACGTCTTGCGAGAGCTTCCCACAACCTCACCACCACCTTCCTGACATTCAACTTCCCGCGACAGACGGCAGAGCGCAAGCTTGCGCGTCCTTCACAATGTCTGCTCCCGGCTCGAACAAGCCCACGCTGAAGTTGAAGCTCGGCGGAGGACGACCGCCAGTATCAACTCCATCCGACCCGCCTGCCCAGACCCCCGGAGGCACCCTCAAGCTCAAGCTCAAACCTCCCTCCGCCGCATCGACCCCAGCGACCGAAGCCGGTCCCGCTTTCCCACCGTCTGCAGCTCCGCCCGTCAAGGAGAAGCGCAAATACACCAAGAAGCCCAAGCCACCCGGCGAAGAAACCGCCGCGAAGACGAAGAAGCGCGCGCGCGACGCCAACGACGATGGCGAGCCCCCAGGCTCCGCGAAGAAAGCAAAAGCGAAATCAGCGCTTGCAAAGGCCGGTACTGCTGCGGTGCCTGCTGCTACTGCGGCAACGAAGCCGCTGTCCTTGAAGCTCAAGACCAAACCCGCGCCCATCCCCCGTCTCAAAGTCAAGCATGTAGGACAACCGCCACCGCGGCCAGCAGGCGTAGGCTACGACAGCGAAGCCGAAGACGTAGAGATCGACCCCGCGATCGAGCACCAATTCATCTTGCGCATGGTCCCCGGCGAAGACTGCGACTACCTCCGCAAAGCCATCACAGAGCGACGCCTGGGCGTACCCGTCCGCGACGGCGGCGCAGACGTGCAATTCCGCTTCTTCGACCGCGAAGGCCGACGCGCGTGCGTCACAGTCCAAGGGCACAAATACGCGGCCTCGCTCGTCGATCTACCCTGCGTCATCGAAGGCATGAAGTCCTGGGAGAAGAAAGGCGGCTGGTTCAAAACGTCGGATATCTGCCAAATGCTGCTCGTGCTGGGCCGCGTGGAGACCGAAGACGCAGCAAAGGACTACCCCCTCCCCCGCGAAGTCGAAAAGGATACCTACCAATACGCCCACGGGCTCACACCCCCCATGCACTACGTCCGCAAACGCCGTTTCCGCAAGCGCATCTCCCACCGCACCATCGAAGCCGTCGAAGAAGAAGTCGACCGCCTCCTCGCCCTCGACGCCAAAGTCCGTGATGAAGGCGGCGAGACTTCCTTCGAAATGGTGGACCTGAACCGCCATCGCAGCGTTGACGAGCAGGAAGACCAGCAGTACGATGCGATGATGGCATCTGGCAACATCGACGAAAACGGCAACTATGTCGACGACGTTGACGACGACGACGCTGCCATGGCTGCCCTCATGGAACAGGAACTCGGCGCCGACGAGGACGAACCCATCACTTCCGTCGAAGCCCCAACAGCCAACGACATCGACGCCGCGCATGCCGTCGCCACGCACGCGCTCGGCAGCGGCGGTGCAGCCGTCGACACAGCCACGCCCTCCGCCAACGAAACAGAAGACAGCGAGTCCGACGAAGACGAAGAAGAAGAGGTTGACGAGGCGGCGTTGCTGGCGCAGCAGGAGGCGCAGCAGCAGAGGGAGGAAATAGCAGACTTGGAAAAGGAGGTTGAGAGCGCCAAGTTGAGCTACGAGAATCAGAATAATCCGATGCTCAAGGCGAGGCTGTTTAATAAGTACAAGAGTCTGCAGAGCGATTTGGAGCTTAAGAGGAGTAGTTTGGGGGAGGGGTGGGATGACTAAAGGGTGATGGGGGTAGGATTTTGCATTGTTAGGCGTTAGAATTGAGGTTTGGGAGTTGTATTGGGGTTATGGGCATATTAACGAAGGAACGGCTGTCCGATGGGGCGTTGGTCTGCATTATCAAGGACTGCACCTGTGGGTTGAAGCTTGCGCTGAAGCTTGCTTTGCAGCCAGACATATTCCAAGTATCAATATCTGCTGGATTGCTATTCCTTGCTTCGATTCGTCAGATTCATTAAGCCTCAATCCCCCATCAGCCGTCTCATTATCCCAACACCCGTCACATCTTCGGTTTCTGATCCTCCGTCTTCTCGCCGATAACGTTCAAGAAAGCAGTGTGAACATGCTCGGTCAAATCCGCCGCCTGCATACTCCTGCCCTTCTCCTCAAACGCCAACCTCGAGCACTCCCTCGTGATAGCGCTGCCGCCATACGCCACAAGCGCCAACAGCTCACTCGCGCTCAGGCTCCCATCATGGTCCCAGATCTTCTCGAGGTATGCATTCCGCCACGCCAACAGCGTCGCCAAACTCCCCGTCAACGTATCGCCCTGTCCACCACTTCTCTTGAGACCACCCGTGCCGCCAGAAACCAGCGTAAACTCGCCGTTGGAAATGTAATCCTCCTTCCCCTTCTGGATAATCGTCACGCCACCGAACGCCTTGGCAAGCTTCTCACACAACTTGCTCGGGTCCCCCTCACTGACATCGACGCTCTTGCTCTTCGCCAAACGTCCAAACTCCACAACATTAGGCGTCAAAATACACTCCTTGTACCCGTCCACGAGCTCCGGTCTCGTCTGGGCCAAATACAAACCGTCTGCGTCAAGGACGAAAGGCAGGTTCCGCTTGCGGGCTTCTTTGATGACGGCGGCGCACGTGTCTTGCATTAGTTGGTCGCGGCCGAGACCGGGGCCGATGACGATGACGTGCAGGCGGCTGAGCATGGCGATTACTTCTTGGGAGACGGTGTCGGCGGTTTCGGTGGACGAGGCGTTTTTGGATTGACGCATGTAGGGGTGCACCATTAGGTTGGGGGAGTAGGTTTTGATTACTGCGCCGGCGCCGGGCTCGCAGATGACGTGGCTCTGGGGTTTGTGTTAGTGGGCATGTATACAGAGTGGATTGGTAAGAATGGAGGGGATCGTACCATGTCACAACCCAGCTTTGCAGAGGCCATGGCGGAGAAGTAGGGTGCGCCGGTGTAGTCTTCACTGCCGCCAATGACGGCGACGCGACCAAGCTGACCTGTGGCACAGTCAGTATCTCTACTCAAACCTCTTCCTACACGACCACCTACCCTTGTGGAATGACTCCAGCATAGGCGGCACCATCTTGTAGACCTTTCCCAAGATCTCCTTCCTCGTAGCGCTAGCCATTTTCACGGGGTGTTTTGTGTGAACGTAAGTGTGGTGAAGGTTTAGTGAAGCGCAATTGAGGTCTTCGGGGAAAATTTGTAGAGAAAAAGTTGTGGTGGTGTGTAGAAGAAGGGATGTTTCTATGATGTGGTGTTGACCTTTTGAGACGAGAGCTTGAGCTGCTTCAACGTCATTGCGGGGCTGGGAAGGCAAGCCACACGATGTGGCGGTTCCGATGACGGATTCGCTATCTCCGCCCGGTCTAATCCTGATGCAGACACTTGCATGAAGGTCGAACGTCGCGACTGGAATTCACTGAACTTTTTCCTTCGTTCTGTTTGAGTTTTTGCAACTGTTGAAGTAAGTCAGGACTGCACCTCTACACATCTCGAAGCAAGCGCTGAATCAACATCGCAAGTCATTGATGCCAGTCTAGACAGCTGTTGCTAGGAAGCAGAAGTAACCCTATCCTCCGTAATTGCGACCGGGCAGAGTATTCATGTGCTCCAACAACAGTAATGCAACATTCTGATGCTCTTCATATCCGTGGCTCTGATCATTGTGACAAGTATCTTGAGTTGAGGAATCTGATGTCAACTACGCTATATGCACATCTTCGACGGTGAACTTTACCAACAGGATGGTATGATCTGTGTCGTTCGCGAAGCAGTGATACGGTGCGAACAGCTTTTCCCTTCCACAACCTTTCTGAACCGGTGATTTTGTGTCTGATGGTTTTACCCTCCCTTACATTTTGCTCCATGCCAGCCAAGTAGGATATCAACTATGTTCAATTTCCATTCCTAATTTCCCACAATTCTTTCAGAGAGGGTCTTTCAGTTACCGTGGACCTGGAAGACGAACAAAGAATTTGGAGTCAAAGAAGGGACTTTGCCGCAGAATATGTAGATGGATTTGAGGACGAAAACCGCAAGTTTGATTTTTAATCTGATGCGCTCTAGGAGCTCGTTCCCGAGGAAGCCATTTGATGTGCGAACTAGATGCAACTACAAGATAAACACTAAGCTCCCCAATCACCTAGTATATTTTCTCTTCCATTGCATGCGGTAATCTAGATGCTCGCTAGGATAATCACTCACTCAGCGCTACGCCAGTTGCGGTAATGTTAGCTTTTCCCGACTCGAACACCGAAGCTCGGCTCGGGTACTGGAATCCTCACTAGGCTCTCCAGTAGAATGTCTTTTCATATGCTAAATTTCCTGCACTCTTTCCACCAGCTAGATTCACTCAATCGCAGCAATCTTGTCACGTCCTAGTGGTAAAGCTTGATAATTCGAGATAGTTGGGGATAACTACTCGCTAGACGCTAAGCCAGTTATGGTGATACTCGTTAGCCGAACACAACACCGAACCTTGTCTTGGATGCTGGATTCTTTCGGAGACCTCTCAAAACTACTTTGATATATTGTTAACCTTTCATCTCTTTCTCATGCCCTAGTGGCAAGACCTCCATAAGTCGAGGTGGTGTAGTTGGTTATCACGTCTGTCTAACAGGACCACATCTTCGGATGTGACTCCCTGGTGCACAGAAGGTCCCGAGTTCAAGTCTCGGCTTCGATATTTTTGCTCGTTTGCAGCACATCACAATCACATGTAGTCTTCGAAGGCTCTTTTTTGTTAAAAATAACCTACCCTACCAATAGTATGTAGTTACATGAGCATCCCATAGCCCAAAAGTCATCCAACCGAGTCTACTCGGGGCCCCACTAGAAAAGTGATACTTGCTACCCTTCTTCGTTTCCATCTCAGAGGATCCCAACCATCCAACCTCAAAGTCCGTTATCCAAGACAACCGCAACAAACTCACAACCCCCAGCAAAGTCACTCCCACATCTTCCACCTACCGCCTACATCACCAACCATCGCAGCGCCTCATCCTCCGTCATTAAACCAGCCAACCAACACATTCCCACGCGTCCTTACATCGCTCTTTTTCCATCTACCTCCCATCCCGAAAACGTAAAACTCCTCTCAGCCGTACCAACCAACCCTTTGAACGGAAGCCGCCAACCCCGGTAGCGGTAGCTCGGTTGCTGGTCGCTGCTGTTTGCGGTCATGGTTAACTTCCTTCCCCAAGCGCCTAACGTTAGCGCTAGTTACTGATACATGTACCTTAGCTTACACGACAGCGAGGCATCTCCCTCCTCCTGTCCCCGGTCAACCAACCAACTTCCCACTCAAGGTTTGCTACAATTCCGCCATTCCAAAAACCCCAATGCGCTGCGAAGCTATTCGAACGCACTCGCACTGTGACCGCGATGCGTAATCGCCCAACCCTTTTCTCGTTCATCGCGTGACGCGGAGCTGTGCGATGGCTGTTGGAACCGGAGAAACTCGGCGCGCACGGCGGGCTGGGATGACCGCAAAGGTTGATGGAGATGTTGGCTTGGCGGGGCCGGAGGAGGGGATTGGTTGTCCTGGGGATGATACCGGGAGGGGGTGGGTAGGTAGGTCGAGGCTAGGGTTCGGTCTTGTGGGTGTGTGGAAAGAGGCCTGAGGTGGAGGTTCGTGGGATGGTTTCGCGGCTGCGTGGCGCGAGGGTAGCGAGGCTGCGAGTTGAACGGATAGCGAGATGGTAGATACGATGCTGTAACTTTATTGATATCCTGGCACTTGAAAGACCATAGGTTCCAGAATAGCACGGAAGCTTTGCATACACACATACACACCACACGCACAATGTTAGCCACTCAACGCGGCACACGTAATATGATAGAGAATCAATCACTCCCGCGTTCTATAAATTCTGCACTACAATATCACCCTCGAACAAAAAGACCACCAAACCGCCCCATCCCCTCATTCCCCCTCCATCCTCCCATTCACTTGTGCAACGAGGAAGTAGAGACACGGTACCTACGATAGCCAGCCATCACCCCCGCAACACCCCACCCCACCTCACCTCACATACTCACTTCACTTACTCTACCCCAACACCACCGTCTCGCTTTGCCCCTGTAATCCCACCCCGATTTCCGACATCGCAACCGCCGTCAATTCCCGGCATCGGCGAGGGTTTCCGTGTCTCGCGTCTGTGCGGCGGGACTGAGCGGGACGTCAGGTTTTCTCGGACAGCGGGGAAGGAGGTACAAGATGAGATGGCGTTGCGAACGTCAACGCTCCGTCCTAGAGTCGCGCGATGGTCGAAACCTGGCGACGCGGTCCCGGTATCTCCGCGGTGCACACAGGCAGCGCAAAATGGCGTGATCGGCTCGAAGAGACCCGTTCCGCGGCAGCAGACGAAGAGGAAGAAGAAGAAGTCTCGGAATCGCAGAAGACACCAAAGTATGGAATTTGACAAAAGTATAAGAATCTGGGCTGGTCTGGCAGCTCATAGTTTGCATAATCTGTTTAAACTTCTCTTTTTCCCTCTTTCTCCTGGCGCGGGGATAGGGTGGGAAAGCGCTCGCTGCTGATTGATCTACGTTGCGTTTCTCAGGGGGGAAAAATGCGTTGCATCGACAAAGAAGGTAGGGATAAAGTTCTCGATGGATAAAGATGATTGATGATGACGATGAGGGGGTTACGTTCGACAAAATGCAGGCATCTTCATCTTTATCTAGCATCGTCGCCTGTGCCCGGACCGGAGTGCGCGTTGAAAGGGTGTTGGGTGGTGGGGGATGTGTATGGGGTGGAGTTTGCAAGGCCGTCTCGTCGTTCCGTTCGCGCAGCAAATGGGTATCTTCAAAAAGGTTTGTTCAGGGGTTGTGTTGGTCGGAGCCGGAGGATGGCAAGGATGGAGGGAGGGATGTTTTTTGTTGCGCATCTTCCCTCGCATCCGCCTCGGTTTGGCGTTACTTCAGGCGTGGAGTGGTTTGGAGGGTTCTGGCGGAAGCGACCGCGGATGCTATGGCCACCAGCCCATGGCGCGGTAGCTTTCTATGATGCCGTCGATTTCGGCCTTGGTGAGCACTGGGTGCTTGTACCTGTCCGAAATTTGTCAGTTTTGTTTTCGAAAGGGGTCCAGTTGGGTTCGCATCAAACGTACTCAAACCCAAGCTCCTTCTCGAACAAGCTGCCGTCCAAGGTAAAGTCTGTATCTTTCAACAGCTCCTTCTCCATGAACGGGCTGAGCGGTGTGGATTTTGAGATTCCGGCCTTCTCCTGCAACTCGGCCCAGGGGTCGAGAGTCTCGTCGTTGACATCGTCGACCACATGCTCGAGGTTGAGTCGGGCAAAGGCCGAGATGAGCGTCCCCTGAAAGCCGGTGGGAATGTTGAACGTCTCGTGGATCAGTTTCGCCATGGTTCCTTGCGCTGCAGGATGTCAGCCTCAAAAATCGGACGTTGCGCGGCCATGTCGATCGGTGCCGACCCAAACTTACAGGTGTTGGTGTGGTCGACGATGTTGAAAACCGGTGCCTTCTCTTTCGGACCCCCCTTCGCATACCACTCTGCCACCGTCCACAAAGCCCTAACAACATCCTCGACGTGCACAGTATTGGTCCGCATGTCCTCTTTCCAGAGCCACTTCATCTCCTTGCCCAAATCCTGATACACCCTAGCCATGCACAACGCCGTCGCCAAAAACTGCTGCGTGTACGGCCCGTAAACATGCGCCATCCTCATAACCACCAAGTTCAGCCCCTCAATCTTTGCCAAATCCTCCTCGGCCTGCAGCTTCCACTTGGCCACCTTCAACCACGGCTTCAGCTTATCCGTCTCCTTCCGCGGCGAGGATTCCGGCTTATAGACCATGCCGGTGCTGCACTCAACGAAGCATTTTACTTTACGCTTAGCGGCCTCGCCGCCCACGGCCAACGACAGCGCGTGCGAGCGCACCTTGTACACCTCGTCATCCTGCGAGTAGCGCGTCTCGCCGCCGCAGTTGAACACGTAGTCGAATTGCTTTCCGCCCTCGCGGTCGAAGATGCGGCCGAGGGATTCTGTCAATTCAGGCCGTCGTCAGCAAACATTCTCCAGCTCGTTCCGGGTGCTCTGTTCGGCGCGCTGGGCCGTGCCCACCAGGTCCGCTCTGGCCGATTGGAGGGTATGCGAGCGTGTATGGTGTAGGTGGAGTACTCACGCTCTCGCGATGCGTCGGCCTGCATGAACTTCTCGCGCGAGCAGGCCTCCTTGAACTCCGGGGCCAGCCATGCCAGCTCGGGCAGGTGCTTGTCGACCAGGCGCACCTCGGACACCACGCTGTTCTCGTGGATGTACTTGGCCAGGAAGCGGCCGACGTAGCCTGCAATCCGTCAGGGTGAGCAAATGGGGAGGCGGAGGAGGGGCTTGGAAAGGCAGGGGAGCGGTACCCAGACCGCCGATAATCAGCACGGCAGGCTTGTCGGCGGGGTCGGCCATGATGCAGCGGCGGGCAGGCGGATGAGGAGGGACTCTCGTCTGGGGGTGGGTGGGTAGAGTTGCGGGTGAGGGCAGTACTGATGCGTAGGTGCAGAGGCTGCGTGCAGGTGGTGGGTGGAGGTGGTCAGGCCTCTTGCCGCTCCTTGTATGGAGATGACGGAGTAGAGAGTGGTCTTTGGGGGGGGCAGCACGCTCGGGGAGGTGGAATTGGGGCGCTTTGGGTTCAGGGATGCCGGCAGAAAGAGACGAGAGAGGGACTTTGGAGGGCGAAGGGGGGTGGGGAGGAGCAGCGACTCGGAGGGAACGCGCTTCACAGCTCTGAATTATTAGAGGACACAGCTAGTGCCCCCCACGGCAGGCGGGCGCAATATTAAATATGCGTAGCAAGCTACTGACACTCTGACCGCAACAAGAGATTTCGGATCCGCACTGGCAGCCAAAGCCGTCCCCGTCCCTGTCGCGCGCACCGCCCGCCGCCGGCGACAGCGAAGTCGTCGATGCTGATGTCTGATGTCTGATGTCTGATGTCTGATGTGCCGATGACTGATGACTGATGATGCTGGCACACAGGCAGGCCAGTACGAGCAGACGGACGCAGCAGACACACGGTGACGACGGACAAGCCGCGACAGGCGCCCGCGGAGGTTGCAGCGGCCCAGCTCTCACACTCTCATCACTCACATTGCCAAGGGGCATATTGGAGGTGGTGGAGGGCGAGGGTTGTCCATCAGCTGAGGCACACCCCGGCAGCGACTCGACAAGATGAATTGAGGCTCTCGTGCTGCTCTGAGCTCAGACTGCTGCCGACGGCCTTCCAAATCAAACCGGCCGCCAATCGACCAGCGACCAAGAAGAGCGCAGCAGCGAGACGAAAAGCACAGGTTCGCCTCGAGCCGAAGAAGCGCTGCAGCCGCAGAAAGAGGCTTGCGGACGGGTTATCACAGACACAGACACAGTAGCAGCAGCATTTGCATCGTCCACAGAAGCTGGTACATTCGAGTACTAGGGACTACGGCTAGCACGAGCGGTGGCTGCCACTGGCTTGTACCTAGCAGCACAAGGCAAGTGTCGTGCCGGCCCGCAGACGGGAGCGAGGCCGAGGAGGAGGAGAAGAAGTCATGGCACAGGGTGCATGCAGGTACTGCGTGGTGGAGGTGCCGTGGTGGAGGTACCGTGGTGGAGGTCCTGGAGTGTGTCACTGTCAATGTCAGTGTCAGTGTCATCATCAATTGGGCTCAGGACATGGTGATCGCTTGC